AGTTGTTACATTATGATATAACAATTCTATTCATGGGCAAACAACCAAAAGCACCAAAGCAGAGACTTTAGCAAGTATGTGTAGATCATCTTCATAATGGCCAAAAGGTAAGAAACCATGGCACCAACAGATAACAAATTTTAAAATCTGTATTATACACATACATGTATAAAAATAGCCAATTTCAAAAAAAAAAGTAAAAAAAGAAAGAAACTTTTGGGAGACAGAGAGCAGCTCAGTGATTAAGAGTACATACTGTTCTCAAAGGACCCGCGTATAGTCCCCACACCCACACAGGGCAGCTCACAACCGCCTGTAATTCTAGCTCCAGGGCTCTGAGGACTTTGATCTTCTTGAGCACCTGCACTCATGTGCACATACCCATACACATACATGTAACTCCAAAAGAAAAAATGAATCTTTAAAACAATTTTAAAAGGTTAATCTGGTAAGAATTCAAAGTGTTTCCCTTTCTCATCTTACTATTTAATTCTCATCATCTTTCAAAGCAGCTAGCACAGACTTTCACTTATAGATGGAAGCACCTCCAGTTTAGACTTTATTTTCAGACAGGGTCTCATATGATACAACCAAGGGCTCCATGACACTTATGTCACCCCCTAACTCAGCTTGAGTGTTAGGACTGGAGGAAGTATATCAACACACCCAGCTTTCTCATAATCATCAATCTTGAATGGCTAATGAAGAAACGAAGGGGAGAGAGCACATGAGCGTGTATTTGGATGCACAGGAACTAAGGATTCCAAATCAACATCTTTTTTGGCCCAATGTTTTATTCTTCCCTAAAGAAATCAGGCCCACCTTCACTGAACTTTAACAAATACCAGGCTCAAGCCCAATTAATATGTAAATCTTTAACTGGCTTGCAGTCCAAAAATTCAGCAATGCCGCTGCCTTGGAGAAGACCAGGCCATCCATGCTTCTCTCTTTGTCCTTTGTCCACACTGGACCATGTTGCCAACAGGAAAGTCCTCTTACAGGTCTCTTCAAGATTATCAAATTTATTTTATTATTATTTTTCTGCTTTGTTTTGGTTTTTTGTTTGTTTTTTTCCTCGAGACAGGGTTTCTCTGCAACTTTGGAGCCTGTCCTGGAACTTACTCTATAGACCAGACTAGTCTGAAACTCATGGAGATCCGTCTGGCTCTGTCTCCCGGATTGCTGGGATTAAAGATGTATGCCACCACAGATCAGTGTCATTTTATTATTGTTTTTTAGTTGACTTATTTCAGGGGGGTGGGGAGGGTGGGGGTGGGTGCCCTTTCCTCACAGACGAATGCATACCAGGGCACATGCATTTCGGTCAGAAAAACAACTCTAGGAACTCAGTTCTCTCCTGCCACCTTGTGGGATCCAGGATTGAAGTCAAAGTTATCAGGCCTGCTATCAGGCATCTTCACCAATAAGCCATCTAGCTAATCTTGTTTGAAACAGGGTCTCACATAGTACAGACTGGCCTCAAACACATTATGTAGTTAAGACTTGGCCTGAACTCTTGATTCTCTGGCTTCTCCCCCCCCCTCAGGTGATGAGATCGGATGCAAGCCACCATACTGACTAAGATAATGTTGGAGGGCATAATTTACTGTAACCATACCTTCCTTTCCCTTCACTTTGAAAATGGATCTCCACGAATCTGCTTTGGGGGAAGCATCAGGAATTAAACTGAGGGCTTGGTTTATGGTAATCACATGTTCCAGGCTGGATTACCCTTCCAACCCTTCAACATTAAGGATCTACCACCACCTACTGTGCCAGCAGTAGTGTTCAAGATAAACACAGAGAGTGTCAGCTACCACTGAGCTGACAATGGTGGGGAAGCACTGTTAAATAAATACAGAAAAAGGGCACACCGTTTTGAATTTTCTCCTGGTCACTGTTTAAAACAGTAAAGACAAGATTAATTTCAGTATTTAACCAAATAAATCCAAAACATTATCTCAACATCTAACTAATCTTAAAAATTAAGATCTGGCATTCTTTTCCTTCAATTTGAATCTTTGCTCTCTGGTGTATATTTGACACTTAAACATATTCTTTGTTTGTTTGTTCTGAAGCCGGGGTTTCTCTGTGTAACAACTGTCTGTCCTGGAACTGGCTCTGTAGACCAGGCCTGCCTCTGCCCCCACCCCGGTGCTGGGATTAAAGGCGTGAACCACCACTGCCCGGCACGTAAACGTGTTCTAATTTGAACTAACAACATGCCAAGTACTCAGCAGCTACGGGCAGTTGGGCAGTTAACAGCTACTGCTCTGAATCACAGAATCAGTGGGTCTCAAAAGAACTGCTGGGACCAGCTAGTCTTAGGACTTCAAAAGTCTGCCCCACACTTACTTCTTGGGTCAGAAGCGAGCAAAGGAACACGAAGGGGCTTACCCGTCAAACGAAGAGCTGGTGCAGTCATACACCATCTCTCTGTTACCCTTCATTTGTAGGTAAGCTTCACAATTGTCGCACCCGTCATATTCGAACTGGTCTATAGTCTGGAGAGGAAAAACCATGGGGGAGCATGAGCAAGGTCTTCATATTTCAGCGAAGACAACCTCTCGGTTCTCTATGTAGTCCAACACCTACCGCTCTCCACTCCTGTTCCTAAACCCCACCCTCACAGCCTTTCTTCTGTCATCCCTAACCAGCTTATATGCCTTTTCTAGTCTCCGTGGGGCCGGCTACTCTCTCAGCTGCTTTGGCTCCTGGCGTCTTCCCAGTAAGTTCACCGAACTGCCCGTTGGGGAGCCTGGTGCGATCACCCCGCTCTCGTCCTTCTGACCTAAACAAAGGCTACCTCAGGCTTCCCACTCCCCTGGCGATCCCCGGGACCTCAGCTCTTCCTTTTCCGTCTGTGGCCCCATCTCCCCTCTTCCTCTCATTTTGCCTCCTCAGTCGCTCCTATAGCCAGGTCCCCGACCCACACCTTGACTAATGAACACAGCAAACAAGCCCGCAGATGCCGCAGGTCCTTCGGCACCGTCTCCAGGGCCATCCCCAGCGACACGACAAAATCCAGGGAAAGATGGTCTCAGGCTCCACAGCCGCAGGAAGTAAACAGACCATTACCCAGAATGCCCGCCACCTGCTGACGTAACTTCCTCTTCCGGTGCAGCGGTCGCCGGCCCCGCCCCTCTCCCCCCTGAAGGAGATGGTTTCTCCCGTGGGGCACGTGGGCGGGGCAGCCGGCAGCCACCTGGGCCGCGCGCGCCCGTCACCTGGACTCGAGTGAGCGAGCGGAAGACGGTGCCGCAGGGGGTGGTTGGGCCCGTAGGGGCGGGACAGTGGGGTGCGGTCAGCGCATGCGCAGGGGGTGTGGAGCGAACGGGCTTGCGGAACTGAGCTCTGCAACGCGGGACTTTTGATGTAGACGCCTGGCGGCAGGCCCCGGTTTTCTCAGGATCCCCGATGAGAACCTAGATTGCTCTGTCTGCTTGTTCTAGTTTGCTAATTCATTGCGACTGTAAATGGCAATTCCTAAGCTGGTCTCTCGGCCTGCAGGACGGTGACCTTGATCTTCCTGCCTTCCCCTTCCGAGTGCTGGGATTAGGGGCGCGTGCCACAGCGGCTGGGTATTTTACTCTCTCGAGACAAGGCTCTCGTGTCTCGGCCTCCCGAATGCTCAGAATACAAGCCTGCAGCTTCACGCTGGGTTGCTTTAAACCCGAGACAGTGAGTCCTTGGCTTTCTGGGTCGTCAGCAGAGGCAGAAATCAAACCCGGCAAGGCCCCGCCCCTTCTCGTAACTGCAAGAGCGTGATGGGTTTCGTTTGCGGTCCACAGGAATGCTAGCCCGAGCCGTGCCCACAGGGGCGGGGCAACGCATATGCACTTCCTCCTGAAAGCCTGTCGTTTGCGCGTCCCGCCTGATAATTTACGCTTTGTGAAACTCTTGGCACATTTAGACGTAATTCCATGAGAACCTCTGGAGATCAGGTATCTCACTTCTCATACACTCCCCCACCTCAGCCGCCATTGAATAGTGTATGACGCAAAATTCCTTGCCTTCGGAACTGGGCACCCAGACTGAGCAAACCACACAGAGAAGCACGAGGTATGGTGCGATGTGAACAGAGCCAAAGCCCCCTGCCGACCCCAGGGAATTTGTAGAGGGCACGAGATACACATGCCCTTGGAAGGGACCCCCACAGGAATTCATACAAAGTACCAGTTCTCTGGGAGTGTAGACCAAGTGCAGTCGTGTTTATCTGAATTGGAGTGCTGGGATATAAATAGTCGCAATCCCTGCTGTTCTGTCCTTCCAACCCTTCGAATTGAAACAACCACCGCAAGACTGACTTGTGGCTGTCCCACGCTGCGTTCAAAAGTGTGTAACTGGCTTTTAGATGGTTTCTAGCACTAGGAAATTAGCTTTCCAGTTTGGCAGACATTTTCACTGAGCTATCTCATGTAAGCCTTGTATCACCTCTGAAGGAGGATCCTTTTATTGATGGAAAGAGCTAGGTACCCTGCTGGGGAACTGGCTCGGGACCCACGGCATAAAAGCTGGGCCTGATGGTATGCAACTATAATCGCAGCACTGGGGGCCAGAGACAGGCAGATCCCAGGGGCTTCAGGGCCAGCCAGTCTAGTCAAAGCAGAAAGTTCCAGGTTCAGTGAGAGACAGAGTCTATTATGTAGCTCTGGCTGTCCTGGAACTTGACCTCAAACTCACATCTGAATACACATGTGTACACACACATACATACACTATATACATATTTGAGAACCCATGTTGCTCTCTCTGATCTTACGAAGCCCTATCCTTATGGGTTTTTGATGTCACAAGTAACATACAAAGCCAGACCTAATGACAGTACAAGCCTATAATCCCAGTAATTGGGAGGTGGAAGCAGGAGGGCCAGGAGTTCAAGGCTAGTGTCAGCTATGAAGTGAATTTGAGTCAGGCTGGGTCTCAAAAATCCGACAAAATGAAACAGAGAAGATGAAATTGTTATCCTGAGTGGAAAATCATAATGAAACAAGACCAGATCAGATTTATGGATAAATATATTAGCAAATAAATACATTTCTCAACATAGTGCCTGATTCAAGCATCTTTCTGTCTGGTTCAGATATAAATACCCATGTGGGTGCCTGGGTGCCAGTCTCCCCACTGACTTTGAGGAGAGAAGGTTCCCGTGCCCTTTTTGCCCCCACATTCACATTCCAGGCAAGGACAGTGCCTGAGGGGCTAACAGTGTTCAGGAGGCCCTGGGAGGAAGAGCTGCAGGAGGCCCCTCAGCCCTTGCCCACTTGGTACAAGTGGCCCAGGTCAACTTGTTGCTCCAATTCCAGGTGCACACCTTCTGTTGGGTTGTTGGTTTGTATGGCTTATAGGGGGAAGGGGGCCTCTGGGCCCTGCAAACCCTTGAGGTCACTTGTTTTTCTCCAACTTTGCTCTGAGAAGCTCCCCGAGAAGAATTCTGTCCTCGCTCAGCTCTACCTTAGCTCTCCCTGCCTTCGTTTCATCTTCCCCAGATGAAGTTCAGTGGAGATTCCTTTCTGCCTGCTGTGGGATTTTAGAGACAGGAGAGCTTCAAGGAGGAGTTATTCTCTCTAGTCCTGTTCTCTCTCAGATGAACTGGAGTTGCTGGAGTGACAAGGAGTTTGATAATCAAAAGATTCATCCCAGGTTTGTCCAAGTCCCCACCTCTGGAACCAAACCTGCACCCTGGCTCCCGAAGCTTGCAACTTAAGATCAGTTTAAGAACAGGGAGGAAGAACAGCTCCTCCCTGAGCACCAGGGCAGGCACCGGCTAGAGAAGGTGCAGAGACCTCCCTAGGGACGGGGCTCACCTCATCTCCTTGTTCTTTTGTGAAGAAGGAAAATGATGGAGCTGAAATAGCCTCCATAAAGCCCTGAAACGGTCATGAACTCAGCTGAACCCACAGACTTGTGTGAACCTGAAGTCAGGGGCGAAGGGGACCCAGCAGGGGGCCCGTCTGGGCTTGGGGAAAGAGCAGCACCTAGACATTCACCCTAGCTTCCTGTCAACAACTCAGCCTTTAGGGACCCACCCACAATTGCATAGTGGCTGGTGGTCTGGCTGGACACAAGACTTTCTGCCCAGTGGGTGTGTGTGTTCTACAGACGAGACCGGGAGCTGGCGGCAGGAAACAGCACCTCCCCGCCACCCACCATCACCACTCTTCTTCCAGTGGTCCCAGGAAGTGTGGCAAACAGAGATGCTTGCTTCCTAGGAGAAGCAGAACCCTGTGCCGGGTAGAGCCCTGAGTCATCTGGAGCACACTCTTGGTTGGAGCTACGTCTGATCACCTCACATCACACAGCCTGTTCACACAGCTCCTCGAGCTCCTCCTCCGAGCCTGCATGAGGAGAGAGGGGAGAAAAGAGGTCACTGAGGGTCCATCTGGTCTCCTGCTTCTCCCACCTGTGGAGACTGTGGCTGGGAAGGGACCACAGAGCGGGAGAAGTGGGGAATATGTCTGGAAAGGTGATTAGGTTGAAAGCTGAGAGGGGTCCTTTGGGAAACGGGAGAAAAACAAACCTAGAGAAATACTTAACAGCAACCGCTGCGTGACCAGCACTTACTATTCATTCATTCACCCAATTAATATTTATTAAGCATTCATTGTGAACTTGGCTTGCTATCATTTGCTGGACAGAATCTCCAGAAGGATAAGCGAGGAGAGGAAGCATGCATGCACAGGATATTATGACGACGGACAGAGCTAGGGACAAAGAGATGCATCATGGGAGGAGAGAGCACACCCAGACACAGCAGTGAGGAGTTGGAGTTACAGGACTGGTAAGAATGGGGTTTGTGGGGACAGGGGAGTCAGTGGGATACTCTGCACAGCAGGAACTATGATTAGTGTTTACCCAACATGACTGAAGCAGAGGGCAGGGGAAGGGACGGGGATGGAGCTACCTGGTGCTGGAGCCCCGAAGGCCACCTTAGCTTAGATTTTTCCTTCCTGAGAACCTAAGCAAGCATTTGACTCTAGACAGTTCATTGAAAGCTGGTGACCCTGGCAGTAGCGTGGAGGGGCCCAGGGAGCTGTGCTACACAACTGGATGGGACAGAATGGGGCAGAGCACTAGGTGTGCAGCCCTCATGCCTTCATGGCCCTGTCAGGGGAGGCTCCTGCTGTAACCTTCCGACTGTACTCCATGTGGGTGGGGACCATCAGTGGACTGGAGGAGGAGGTGACAGAGCAAGCACAGGCACAGGGAGCAGCGATGTGAGGATCAAGGAAAGGGGAGGCAAAAAGTGGCCCGACTCAGGCAACACTCAAAGCACATATGACAGAGTCCAAGGGGAACGCTGCTCACACCACACGACCGTGGACACTTTCATCCTACACACTGTTTGCATGCATGCCTTCCCATAGACCAGGGTCTCCTGCATGGCAAGCTCCGTGTCCACAGAAGCCTGCCTAGAATCTAACATATAACACGCATGTAATCAGGAGAAAATGGATAAATGGATGCCAGCAGCTCTCAGGCTCTGCCTGTAGGATCCCAGGCCCTCTGGGGGATTTCAGGACCTCTGGGGTCCTCCTTTGAGGTAGAAGGGTTCTTCTGGCAATGGCTATACTGTCTCCCAAAGGTGGGAGGGAGTAGAAGGCAGGCCACTTGGAAAGGGAGGATGGTTTGGGCAAATACATGTGCAAAGCTTTGGCTTAGAGCCAAGGATTTACAGTGGTGCCATTGGTTGAGACACAGACAAGCCAAGTTCCCATGAAAACGTGGCTGACCTTATTCACAAGGGTGTTTGGAAGAGAAGGGCCCCAAGGGAGGCTGGGAACGACCTCTGCTTTCTGTGCTTCACATAAGCTACATCCTCAGCTTTCAGCAACCCCTTGGCTGTTCCCATCCAGGTGCAGCCTCCTCTCCCCAGGACACCTGCTACCCTGGAAACTCACCAGGCTGGCCTGGTAGCACCTGGCAGTGTGGGTAAGGGCATGGTCTGCCCTCTGGCGTGTCAGAACTCCACTCGGAATGCCCCTCTCCAGGAGAGCATGGTCCCAGAGGCCGGCGAGGGGGCAGATACAACCACACTGGCTGTGAACTTGAGTAACAGGGGCCCCGAGCTTCATGTAACAGCCTCCTATCCAGGCCTGGAGGTCTGAAGATCAATGGACGAGTCTCTGGGGGCCACGGGTATGCTAGGCTGGGGCTATAGTGGGGAAAAACCTGGCATGCCGGGTGCACAGTCAAGGCCTGAGGCCGAGAGGTTGGCAAGGGTTCTGAGGGGCCACCCCGCCGTTTTCTCTGTGGGTGTCGGACAGGGAGGCTGGATTTCTGCAAGTTCAAAGGACTGTTGGGGTTGGGGCTGGGGCTGGGGCTGGGGCTGGGGCTGGCAGCTTCTGCTAGGCCAGGAGCTGGCTCTGTAAGGGACCTGGGCCGTTGTGTGTTGGGGAACATTGAAGAAGCTGATGGGTTGGGTGTGGTGAACTTCTTCTCCAACAAAGATGGCTCCAGCTGAGTCTGAGAAGCAGTAGGCCTGGGCTGAGTGACCCCAGTTTCTGGGCCGGGCTTCCTGCCATGCCACTGGAACCGCTTTTTGTAGTGGTGGTGGCGGTGGCGGTGATAGTGGATGGAAACCCGAGTCTCCCCTGTGGGCACCACCGAGTCCAGGGAACGGGGTCGAGGTTGCGTTCCTTTCCCTTGGAGATCCGCCTCAGGGCTGCAGTATACCAAGGGGTCGAAGTCACTGCTCAGGGAGCTGCGGAAGGTAGAGCTGCTGCCATGGATGCCCTGCAGACTGATGTCGGTGCAGTTGACCACCGAGTCACTGGAAGAGCCATGACAGGGCCCAGAGCTGGAGTCACTGGCTGGCCCGTCTGCCAAGTAGCCGCTGCGTTCTGTACAGTAACTTTCTCCAGACCCGCTGCTGTCATGAGGCCTGGCCCGGCGTAGGGCCACTGGGCATCCTGTGGGGTGCTGAGCAGCGCATCGGAGGTGGCTCAGCCCCCAGCCCCGTGGTGCGTAGGGGTGCTGAGGTACTGCCAGGTGTTGTTGTTCTTCTGGTGCCCGGAGGTGTGAAGCCCTAGGGAGCCGTTGATGCCGAGAGCCCATACTCGGCTCCTGGGAGGGTAGGAAGGGTCTAGGTCTTGGGGGCCTGTTCACTGAATTCCTGGAAGGGCCCAGCAGGTAGGCAGAGGGGAGATGATAGTGGGCATGACCAGGATGCTGGCGAATAAGGTGGAGTCTCCTGCCTGGTTCCTGGTAAGATGGAGAGGCTCCCAGGGCCTGGGAAAATGAATCTCCCTCTGGGAAAAAGAACAAAGAACATGGACATTTGACTTCACAGACACAGGCTTCATACAGAGAATGAACTCAGAAAGGAGTAGCTACCCTATCCAATCCTGCATCGCCTCTGAACTCAGTTTGGGGAACCAAGAACATCTAATCTAAAATTTACCCATGCCTGGACTTCACTCCTTTCCCTCCGGCTGCCAATCCCTGCTCCTCCTGGCAGCCATCCGGGGCGTTTCACCCAGGGCCACCATCAGCTCACATTGTCCCTTTGAACGGACAAGCACAAGGTTCTTTTTCCTCAAGATGCTGACTTCACATCCATCTTTTAGAAAATTGTCATACTAATTTTATTAGAATAGGGCCCTTTGTTGCAAGAACATTAGAATAATGAACTTGTAAATAACCCAGATTTAGAATCAACAATACTGTTACAAAAACACACTCTTTAAGAAAGTGAAGATGGCTTCCATATGGATTGCCCTCCCCAACAGACAAGGAGCTCTTGAGCAGTGCCAAGCTGAAGCCACCATGGTGGCAGCTCCTCCTCCTCAGCCTCACAGCAGAAACCCTATGTTCTGGATCCATCTGTGTGTGGAGCCCTTGGTACACCTCCTACCTACGATGTTGAACATGCAGAGCGGGCAAGTCCGATGCTGGTACAGCCAAGGGTCCACACAGGTACGATGGAACTCATGGAGGCAGGAAATGACCCGGAGCTCCTGAAGCAAACAAGAGTGTCCCAATGAAAGTTTACAAAGCTCTCCCTAACTCCCCTTGGCCTGGCCTTCTCGCAGTCACCTACTTGCAAAAGAACAGGGCAGTAATGGAGTAGCCATCCTATCCAATCCTGTAAAGCCCAAGGTGTGGGCTTTGGTAGTCGGTGGATTTGTGTTAAGCTGCCTGACTTTGGGTGAGTCTCTCTCTCTCTCCTCTCTCTCTCCTCTCTCTCTCTCCTCTCTCCTCCCCCCCTCTCTCCCTTCCTCTCTCCTCTGTTTTTGGCTTTACTTTTTTTTTTTTTGAGATAGTCTCACACAGTCCTTGAACCCTGGACCCTCCTTTTCCTATGGCCCGAATGCTGGATTAGAGTCATGCACCACAATGCTCAGCTCAAATTTCTCAACAGTTTCTGCTGTCAGTGAAGATAAGAACCCAGTCCACTCCCCACCCTCCTCTGCCACGGGGCTAACATGAGATAATGTGTTTGAAGTGCCACTGTGGCCTGACGTGAGGCGCCCTCTCAACGATACTGGTGCTTTTTCTTAGAAGCCAACAAAATGACCAAAGTTAGGATCGACACATGGGACCTCGATGTAGTCATACCCCCTCCTCCATCTCCAGCCTGGCCCACCTCACCTGCCCCTCTGAGAACTCCTCCAGGCAGATGGCACATATGGGGGCCGAGCCGCAGCTACTCCCTGAGTCTGGCCACTCAGCTCGAGCCCGCCTACAGCTGGCTTGGTACCTCCTGGTAGCCAGTTGGCTGATGGCCCAGGCTGTCCGTTGCTGAAGAGGGTCCTGGGAAGAGGAATGGGGTTCAGATTGAAGCAAGGGCTCTGTTTCCCTCTCCCCTGGGCCCCGGTTTGGACTCAGTTCCACCTTCCGCAGTCAAATGACTGCCCTTGAGGATGTATCCCTTCAAAGCCCATGCATAGCTGTGACCTTACATCCCAACACCTTTCTTCCTTTAATGACTCATGAGAGAAACCTTAAAAATTATTATTATTCGAGTCTGTGTGTATGGGCGTTTTGTCTGCATGTACGTCTGTGCCCCGTGTGCCTGCCTAGTGCCCACAGAGACCAGAGAGGTACTGATCCCCTGGAACTGGACTTAGACAGTGACTCCCATGCTCACCCACTCTGGTCTGTACTATTCTGTCATTTTCTCCATGCAGACTCACCTAGACTAGTTTAGAAAAGGCTAACCCTGTCTCCCCTGCCTGCTGGCTCCTCTGCTGTTTTGCTGTTCTCTGTGGCAAGCACGTGTTGCTGTCAAAAATATTACACATTTTACTTCTTTTATTGCCTGCTTCCTCCCACTAGAATGAAAGCTTTTTAGAAAGAATGGTTGGTGCTGAAGAGATGGCTCAGTGATTAAGATCATGGACTGTTCTTCCAGAGGGCATGAGTCCAATTCCCAGCAACCACATGGTGGCTCACAACCACCTGTAATGAGAGCTGGTGCCCTCTTCTGGCCTCCAAGGACACATGCAGGCAGAATACTGTGTACACTCTTTTTAAAAAGAGTAAAGAGTTGTCATTTTTACTCACAGTGCTGTTTCCAGAACCTGAAACTGATATATATTACTCAGTATATTGGATGGATGGATGGATGGATGGATGGATGAATGGATGGATGGGTGGGTGGGTGGGTGGGTGGATGGATGGATGGGTGGATGGATGGATGGATGGGTGGGTGGGTGGATGGATGGGTGGATGGATGGGTGGGTGGGTGGATGGGTGGGTGGGTGAGATATGAGGAAAGGTGACCTCAAACCATCAGTGAGCCTACAGTTTATCTAGATGGAGGCTGATTCAAGGGCATAAAGACACCTGTCTGCCTCACATTCTTTCCACCTCCATATCTGCACCCAAGCCCTCTTGGATCAGGCAGCTCACACTGCTCACCGGTCTGCTGTGGCGGGGGCGACACCTGATGCGCAGCACTGAAGCCAGGATGATGACAAAGATGGTGCCCACCACAGTCAGGAGGATCCACACATCATAGTCTGGCTGGGGATGTGGGGAGAAGTAGAGAGGAGAAAAGGTCATACTCTAGAAAGAGCCAGGCCAAGCTGGGAGGGAAGAGATGGGGCTGAAAGGTTCCCACCTAAGGGATGAAGGGAGGGAAATGGAAGGACCAGGTAGTCTCTCTGCCTTGGGCTGCAGAAAAGGGAACTCTAGATGCAGCTGTGGGAAGTCTCATTCAGGGAGACCTATGTGTTTGCAGGCAGAGGAGGAAAGGGTCCCTTTGTAAGGTGGGGGCTACTTGCTGGAGAGCAACAGGGAGTGGAGAGACACCCACCAGGGGTCAGAGCCTGGGACAGGCCGGCAGGCTTCTCTACTCTATGCCATGAAACCACAGAGCTGAAAACAACCTCAGGACTCACCAGACCCAATCTGCTCACCCTTTAGACGAGGCTGTGAGGGCAGGAGGAACTCCCAGACACATGGCTAGGGGCTGAAGTGGACTAGAGGGTTTCCATGGGGCTGGTAGACAGATGCAAGGCTGAGGCCAGATGTGCTTACCCAGGCTGGGGGCTCCTTCAGCTCGATCCTCACATGGGCCTTCCGATTCTTGTACACAAACTCCATCAGCTTCTGGGCATCATTACCCCAGATCAGCACCACTGGCCAAGTCAGCCCCAGGGGCTGCTGCAGCTGCAGAGAACAAAGCCCACAAGGGTTCTTGTGATTTCTGCTTCCTTCCCCTAGGAGCCCTACCTCCCTCCATCCCGACCCTCCCTGGAGCGCCCGCCTGTCCCTGGGCACCTGCTCAGCAGCTGATCGGTCCTCGGTGATGTCAAAGAGCACTGCACTGGCTCCCCGCTCGCCAGCCATTCGGGCCTGCAGAAACACAGCAGAGAGTAGTCTGAAGCCAGACAAGATCACAGCCCAGCTGCAGGTTGCTCTCAACCCTGAACACACACACACCTCCCTAGGATGTGCACCCCGTACACTACTCCCATGTATGAGGGCAAGGAGTCAGGGAGCCTGGGGCCCCTGGCTGGCCCAGTCCACTGCCTTCAAAGAACAGCATTCGGCCTTTCATTTTGAAATGGAACACTCACCCAGGTTTTACTGGGTGCCAGTAAACCAGCTTTGACTCTAGGGTAAGATAAGTTCCTGCTCAGGGGTCAAGCCCCACAGGGCAGGAGTGACCAGCAGTTGGAGGGAGACAGACTGGAAGCTGGGAGAGCGGAGGAGGACCCAGCCCTGTCTATCCAGAGGTGGCTGAGGAATGCCACCCGTCAGGAGTGGGGCTCAGGCACAATGCTGAGAGCCTGGGACACTGCTCTGACCCAAAGCCTCCATGGCAGATCCCCCACCTCAGGGGATCACACAGGGGCGCTCTGCCCGCCACCCACCCTCTAGCTTGCCAAGCTCTTTGGTTCCAATGCAGGACCTTAAGGAGACCTTGTCCAGTGCTTGGTCCCTTCATCCTCTCCCTTGGGATTACTGGACTGGGGAGGGACTAAATGGGCTGCTCCCACAAGGGCGTAACTGTGCACAGGTGCAGTGCACTCTTGGAGCCAAGGCAGAGAGTAGCCAAAGGCTCCAAGAGTGCATAGATGCTGTGCAATCTAGCCAGCATGCAGCAGCAGCAGGAACACAGCAGCGGTGCAGATAACAGCCAAAGACAGACAAGAGGAGGGAATCTGGGGCCTGTGTGGGGGTGACAGGAGGAAGATAAGAGCACAAGAGCAACAACTAACGGACAAGTAGGGCACTGGGCAGGTGCTGTTCCCAGCCTGGAATCAGACCCTCCAGACCAGAGGCTCACCAGGCTCAGATGGCCTCCCACCCAGGGACCCTGAGGAATCTCTGGGGTCTTCCTGCAGGCAGTGAAGGAGTTAACCCTTCTGCAAGTCACAGTGGCAGGAAGAGGAGCCAGGGCTAGGACTTAGTCACAGTCCCAGTGCTTTGATCTAAGCTGTCTTCCCTGGGAGAGCCTGTTGGGGCAGGCCCCCTGCCAGGCAGGCTGGGAGCAACTTGGGCCTCTGCTCTCTGCTCTCCACTCCCCAAGCAGTGGCAGGGGCTAACGGGCCCCTCAGAACCAGTTGCCTGCAGGGAGGGGACAAGGAGAGGGCAGTGAGGTCTTATGCAGGGCTCTCTTTTTGGGTAGGATAACTTTTCTTTCTTGCCTCTTGCTCCAGGGAGCTGGGCTGGTCCCTCTTCTGGGCCTGCCCAGAATAAATGACTACCACCCCAAGCCCTGAGGAAATTCATGGACTCCACAACGGACTGGGGAAGAAACTGAGAAGTTGCAGCTTCCGCTGTCCTCTTAACCACTTCCTCCCAGAAAGCACAGCCTACTCAAACAAGTCTTCAGGGCTTCCAAATTACGGCTTTCAAGAAGTGTTGGCGCCAACAAGTGGTGGTGGCCACAGTGCACACCTGTCTTTAATCCCAGCACTCAGGAGGCAGAGGCAGACACACCTCTGGGTTCAGGGCCAGCCTGGTCTACAGAGCAAGATCTAGGACATCCAGGGCTACACAGAAAAATCCTGTCTCATAAATAAATAAATAAACAACAACAACAACAACAAAAAGAAGTGTTGAGAAAGGAACCCAACAGGGGAATCCTACTGGTAATCTCATAGTCCGGGTGGGGAGGTGTGGGTTGGGTACCCAGGAGTCACAGAATGAGATTCCTAGAGCCTCAAGTTTCCCATACCCAAGATTCTGGGCTCAGTGTGGCCTAGAAGAGCATGGGGCTCCCTTCTTTGGAGATTTTTTTACTTCTTCACCCTGCTCTCTTTGAAGAATTGGGGTAGGAACAGTAGAAAGCAATTACTGTGAGGTTCAAACACCCTAGCCCATTACAGCCCATAATTACAAAGTTGTAAAAGTGATCAAAGAGCCCAGAGAGTTTGCCAACAGGAGAAAATAAACAGGACTTTTTGGCAGTGGGTTCCTGTGTCCGGAGTTCTAGAGACAGAAAGCAAGATTTGGGGATAGATGGCTCTCTGAACCTCCTGCCCATTTGCACCCAACTGTAGGAGCTTCGGAGTATCTCTGAGGAGTGGAATCTGGAAGGCAGGGAGGATGGGTAAACTCCCACAACCAGAAACCCAGCCTCATAAAGCTAGCACAGTAGCTCTCTGGATGCTACAGGGTGGGCCAGCAAGCAGCAGCTGCAACAGGAGCCAGTTCGGAGCATGAGGAAGGGGGGCTGGAAGCCTGTCTCTTGGTAAACTAGTAAGCTGTTAAATTTTCCTCTACAGACCGTGGTGGCTGTTTCTGTATATCATCTGCTCATCCATAATACAACAGTACCCACTATGCCTGAGCTACTAAGCCAGGAAGGTCTGGACTTTGTGTGCACATAAAACTAGAAAAGCAGCCGGGCGTTGGTGGTGCACACCTTTAATCCCAGCACTTGGGAGGCAGAGGCAGGCGGATGGATCTCTGTGAGTTCGAGGCCAGCCTGGTCTACAGAGTGAGTTCCAGGATAGCCTCCGAAACAATACAGAGAAACCCTGTCTTGAAAAACCAAAACCAACCAAACAAAAAAAAACAAGCTTGCTCTGGAGAGATGGCTCAGTGGTTAAGAGCACTGGCTGCTCTTCCAGAGGTCCTGAGTTCAATTCCCAGCAACCACATGGTGGCTCACAACCCTCTGTAATGATGCCCTCTTCTGGCCTGCAGGCATACATGCAGACAGAACACTGTATACATAACAAATAAATAAATCTTTAAAAACAAAACAAAACACCAGGAACAGACAATAGTCAACACTGTTCACTTCAGAATGGCCTCTCCTCTGCCATCTGGTCCCTAATCTGACACACTCAACACACAAAGCAGCAACTGAAGGGGGCCTGAGGGGACAGTGTCTTCTCCCCCCACTGACGCCCTCCCACTCCCCACCCCCACTCCTGGCACCTCCAAGAAACACAGACTTAGCAGAACACTTAGTTAAAAGTCCTTTTGGCCAAAGACTCCCATCTGCTGGGAGGGATGCTGGAGGGAGGGATTTCCTCTCCCACAGGGCTGGGTCAGGCAGGAAAGGTCCAGTGAGAGTGGCACTAGGCTGCTTGAGAGCAACTGGAGAAGGAAGGAGGGAGAAGGCGAACGATCCTTACTGAGATCTGCCCAGAGTGCCCAAGTGGGAATCCCAGCTCTGCTCCCACTATAAGCTGTGAGACTTTGGTGCAACACTTCCATGCTTCTGTTTTCTTTTCTGTAAACTGGGACAATAACAGACCGTGCCTCATAGAGCTACTGTGAGAACCACATTAATTAATCCATATAAAGTACTTGAGTATGTGTCTGGCACATGGTGTTATTATATGTGGTTTGCATACATGAGTTCACTTATTCCTTAATATTCCCTAAGACAGTAGGGAAACCAAGACTTAGAGGGCCTGAACTGGTCCATGGACACCAACTGAGAAACAGTGAAAATTGTACATCATCCGGGACTTCAGCACCCAGAGCATCTACTCTTTCTGTCTTATCTTGTTTTGTCTTAAAGCGAGGTCTCACTATGTGGCTCAGGCTGGCCTCATACTCACCACCCTACCCCTTCAGTATTCCTGCATGCTGTGACAAGCGTGTGCCACCATGTCCAGCTCTAGAGTGCCTTCCCTTAACCACTGGGTGGTGGCCATCTTGGTGCCCAGCCGCTTGTCTCTCTTTCGAATTCCTTCCGTTAGGCAAAAGGCCTCTGGACTTGTCCAGGCATGATAGGGGAATTGGAGCTGCTAAAAAGGCAGACACCAGTGCAGGTGACTGGGATGGAACAGTTACAAGAATGGAAAAGTCCAAAAGAATTACGGTGAGGGTTTCAGAGAAGAACAAATGAGGTAAGTATGGAAAAAAAAAAACCAGCTCTGTGAGCTGTAAAGCACGTGAGGAAGACTGGTGAGTGGTGGAACACACTTAGCATGTGCAAGGCTCTAGGTGCAATCCCCAGAAAAACCAAGCCAAGACGAAACAACAGAAACAAACACCTGGTAGTGAACTCAAAGCCTGTGACGACACAATCATGTCTGTCGTCATTTACTGAACAACTACTATTGTGCTGAGCACTGGACTACGAGTTGCATCTGTACTGTCTCAGTAAATCCTCATAACTAGGGCAGGAGAGATGACTCAGTGGTTAAGAACACTGGCAGCTTTCAGAGGACCCAGGTTCAAATTCTTGCACCCTCATGGTGGGTCACAAAGATCTTTAACTTCAGTTCCAAGGACCTGACGATCTCTTCTGGCCTCTGAGGTTACCAGGCACGCTTGTAGTACACAGACATTAGGCAGACAAGATACTAATACGCATAAAATACTCCTTCCTTCCCTGCCCCCATGCCTTCTTCTTTTCATTTATTCATTTTTTGAGAGGGTCTCTTCTATTCTAGGCTAGACTTGTACGGGATATGCAGCCAAGGATGACCTTGAACTCCTAACCCTCCTGCCTCCACTTCCTAAGTGCTGGGATTACAAGCATGTACCACCACTCTTGATTTACCATTAACATTAAGGGAAAACCAGAACAGAAACCAATTTGGGTCAATGACTTTGAATTTCTTTTCTTTACCAAAGATCTTATTTTTCCTTTACACTTCCTAGGAACCGTTATGTAGTGTGTGTGTATGTGCGTGCATATGCATGTGTGTGTTTGTGTGCGTGTGTATGTGTGTGCGTGTGTGTGCATGCGTGTGGGGGTGGTGCAAAGCTTCCTGGGCCACTGTAATCTGAACTTCTCTACCCACCATGCTCTCCTACATGACGCGCCACTTCAGAACAGGCATAGCAACACTGAAGCAGTCTACTATGTTCTAAAGCTTCTGGAAGCATGAGCCAAAACAAATCCTCTTTCTCCCAAATGGTTCTCTTAAGGTATTTTGCCACAGCAACCAAAAGTCTAATGCACTAGATAAGGGTCGCATACAGGGAAGGACAAGAGCCATGGTCACCAAGCAGTAGGCAAGGCACTCCGTTTAAGCCAACCATGCTTGTTGCTGCTGTTTAATTTTACCTTTCTTTGGGCATGGTCTTATGTAGCTCATGGTCTTGACCTTGCTATGTAGCTACAGCTGGAACTATAGGTGTGCACCTTCATGCCTGGTTTTTGTGGTGATAGGATCAAATCCGGGGTTTCATGCATATTAGGCAAACCCTCTACCAAGTGAGTTATCCATCCCCAGCCCTGGTCTTCTTTGCTTTTTGAGACAAAATCTCAGCATGGAGCTTTGGTTAACCTGAAATTTGCAATGTAGAACAGACTAGTTTTGAATTTGTAGCCGATCTTCCTGCCTGTGCCTCTTGAGTACTGAGATTACAGGCCTGTGCCTCATGCCTGGCTTAGTTTTGATTTTATGCTTGTTTTAGTTCAAGCACTGCTGATACTTGAAGCACATTACTTTTCATGCTTACAGTAATCACAGGGAAGAGCAGAGCCCTAACAAGCACTCCAAAGGGTAGCCCTCAGTACAGTGTCTATGCACGCTTGGGGCTGGAGAGATGATGGCTCAGTGATGAAGAGGACTCGCTGCTTTTGCAGAGCAACCCAGGATTGGACAAAGGCATCCACATAGCAGTCTACAACAATCTGTAACTGGCTCCAGGGAACTGGATGCCCTCTTTTGGTCTCCAAAAACATCAGGCAAGCTTGTAGTGTACACATATATACATGCAGGCAAGACACAAAAGATAAAAATAAATAGCTTTCTTGTTGCTTGAGATAAGTTCTCTCTCTATAGGTCTGACAATGCTAGAACTCACAGAGATCTGCCTGCCTATGTCTCCCAAATGCTGGGACTAAAGGCAAGAGCCACAATGCCCAGCTAAAATAAATATTAAAAAAAAAAGGTACCGTGTTCCTACAGAGGTCAAGGAGAAATCCTCCTGCACTGAAGCACCCTTAAAGTTGGCCACATGTGCACGGACAGTGCAATCACATACTCTGTTACAAGAACTGCAGGAAGCTGGGCATGGTGCGGGCCTGTTCTTCAGCCAGTCTGGGTTGTGAGGACCGGGACGGACCTGTGTCTTCTGCTTGAATGTTATTTTAAGTTTTTATTTTGTTGTTGTTGTTTGTTTTTCCCTGAGACAGGGTTTCTCTGTGTAGTCTTGGCTGTAGACCAGGTTGGCTTTGAACTCAGAGATCTGCCTCTCTATGTCTCCCGGTACAAGTACATCAACACTGTCTGGTTTATTTTCACTGTTTAAATGTGGCAATTAATTTGCATTTTAGTGGGAGGTATTTTGTTTTGTTGTTTGAGTATTTGTTTTGTTTTTCTTTTGAGACCATATCTCATACACCATAGGTTGGCCTCCCACTCACCAGGTGACAGAGGTGACTTTGAATTTCTAGTTATCTTGCCTTCATCCTGGAGGGCGGGGATTATAAGCATGTACCACCAAGCCTGACTTTATGAATGTTAGAGAACAAACCCAGAGCCTGTGCAGTCTGGGCCAGCTCAGCCATATCCCCAGTTCTAATTTACATATGACCCTTGTGCAAGTCGGAGTCATCTTGCAGGCCCAAAGTTAACAAACCTCACAGGAAATGTGCAAACACTGCGGGGAGGTTAATCGCTTCCGCCTGGCTGTTTTGTTTGAGTCAGGATTTTGTTATACAGCACTGGCTGACCTGGTACTTACTATACAGCCCAAGCTGTCCTCAAATGCCAGCTCAGCCTCTTGAGTGCTGAAAGCGCAGGCAGGAGCCCCAAGGCTTGGCTGTTTTGCTGTTGTGAAAATGTTCAGCAGATGTTTGTGACATGTGGAAAAAATCCTTCAAGTGACACCCCACACTGTACCTCCTCCCTGACTTGTTCTTGTGCTGAGGAAGGGAAAGTCCTCATAGATTTCTAAGAGATGGCGTTGGGTGATGGGGTGGAAACTCAGGCTACAATGAAGCTCAAAATCCTGGCACTGCTCCGTGGAGTAAGAAAAAGGTTGAGAGCTAACGGAACTTGAGGGAACCAGGCTTAGCATTCTTAAGAAATGTATTATTATTTTATGTGTATGGGGGTTTTGCCTGAATGTGTGTCTGTGTACCATCTTTGTTCCTACACCTGTGAAGGCCAGAAGAAAGCGTCGGGTCCCCTGGAACTGAGTTACAGATGGTTGTGAGAGACCATGTGGGTGCTAGGAATCAAATCCGGATCTTCTGGAAGAGCAGCCAAAGCTCTTCACCAACAAGCCATCTCTCCAACCTCAAAAGGATTATCATTTGAAGACACAAGGGGACAAGAGAGCACAGGGGCCCTGCAGCCCAGTGCTGAGTGCAGCTGAGAATCTACCTTACTGGCCAGTGACAGGCAGGGGCGCGGGGCCCGTCGAGGACTCTCCAGCTTGACGATGCTGATGAATCCAGGCTCCAGGTTGTCATCATCACTGGCATTACACAGGTACAGCGGGTGGGACTGCAGAGAGAGGAAGACCTGGATTAGAGGAGCCCTGGGGAGCGAGTGTGAGCTAGGGACAAGGACCAATTGTCTACATTATTGTCTACATTATTCAGGTTCCAGGGTGGTCTCTGAAAAAAACGTTTAGAAACAGTGTGTGTGTGTGTGTGTGTGTGTGTGTGATGATGTGTAAGTGGGGGTCAGAGGACAAGTTTCAGGGATTGTTGTTTTCCTTTCACCGAGGGATCTAGGGAATCAAACTCAGGTTGCCAGGCTTACACTGCAAGTACTTTTACCTGCTGAGCCATCTTGCTGGCCCCCAGTAAGTCTCTTGGAGCTATAAAAGAGCAGACCTCCCCTGGATATGGTGACTGATGCCTGTAACTCCAGAACCCAGAAAGCAGAGGCAGGAAGTTCACCAGAAGTATGACGCCAGCCTGGGTTACACAGTGAGTTTCAGGCCACCGTATCTCAAAAAGAGCGAGTCTTATTACTAGATAGTCTCATCATAAACTAGTAATCATTAGGTACTTTAAAGGTGCTGGGGTACAGGGGTGGGGTGGGTGGGGAGGAGGGGTGTGGCAGACAGGATCTAAGTGAAGAATCTGCTGTGGCATAGCTGCAGAACCCTTAAGACTTTTCCAAACGAACCAAGGCCAGATGGTCCCTCTCCTGACCAGTGTCTCCTGATCCATCTACTTGCTCCCAAACCTCCAGACTCTGAGAGTGCTCCCAAACCTCCAGACTCTGAGGATGCTCAAGTGCTCCCAAACCTCCAGACTCAAGAATGCTCCTGTGTGCCCCAACCTCAGTGCTCTGAGAATGCTCCCAAACCTCCAGGTTCTGAGAGCACTCCTGTAAGCTCCAGGCTCCAAGAGTGTTCCTTTAATCTTCAAGCTCCAAGAATGCTCCCAAACCTCCAGACTCTGAGAGTGCTCCCAAACCTCCAGACATGGGACCATCTCTGTCCATCAGCTCTGGGACTATGGAAGGTCTAATCCAAGACTGTAATGACTGAAGAGAAAGTGGGCCAACGGTGTGGACAGAGATCCTAAGACTCCTTCATCACAGAAATGAGACGGTTTACTAAACAATCTTATTCTACATTATTCTTTTAAAATTTATAGCATTTTATTTACTTTTGTGTGCATGTGTGGGATGCATGCCATGGTATACTGGAGGGAACCCATTCTCTCCTTCCACCATGGAGATCCAGGGGATTGAACTTGGGTCATCAGGCTAGGTGACAATCCCTATTGAGCCATTTCACCAGCCCTTCATCCAAGACAATTCTAAGATATATTCAAAACTAATTTTCCCAAAGTGGTAGGAAAACAAAGTGGTGTTTGTTTGTCCTTGGATAATCCTACAGGCCAGGGATTCCCATGTCTTGGCAAGAGAGTGATTTCCTACAGAGCAGTAGTAGATACTTCCCTCTCCAGTGATACTGAAGTTTGAAGTACTTCAGAAAGACCCATGAGAGGAACCGCAGAGAATTTGATGATGATGATGTCCACTATGGGTTTAAAACCACAGTCACTTCCTGGAAGCTTTCCCAGACTCATCTCTTACTGACTCAAACATAGTAGGTTCTCAATCCGTGTGTGCTATGCTGCTTTGCATCAAGGCCTTGATAGTGACATCTCTGGGTAAGTAGAAGGAGTTCTACTCTTATTTCCACAGCCTAAGGGTTACTGGCTGGTGGTAACAGAGGCTCAGTGTGGGAGAAAAGTTAAACACCCTTGTCTCCAGAAAATGAATGGCATGAGGCCCTGCCTTTACCTATCCAATCATTCATCCATTCCCTTCTCACGAGAGAACGCGCGCGCGCGCGCATGTGTGTGTGTGTTACACATATTTGTTTTTGTGTGTATGTACACATGCCAGTGAAGGTCACAGACTGATGCTGGTAATTTCAATCAATTGCTTTCTACCTTACTTTTATAGATTGGGTCTCTCACCGAACCTGAAGCTTGTCAGTTAGGCTAAACTGACTTGCCTTCCCAGCACTGGGATTACAGGTGTGCACTGCCATACCTAGCTTTTTTTTTTTTTTAAGGTTTATTATTTCTGTTTTTGCCTGTATGAGTGGTTGTCTGAGTGCACACAACTTGTGTACCTGGTGCCTGAGGAGGCCAGAAGAGGGCATCAGATCCCCTAAAACTAGAGTGATAGACAGCTGTGAACTGCCAGGTGGGTGTTAGAAACCAAACCCAGGTCCTCTGAACAGTGCTCTAAACTGTTCTCTCTAAACTAAACCCAGGTCCTCTGAACAGTGCTCTAAACTGTTCTCTCTAAACTAAACCCAGGTCCTCTGAACAGTGCTCTAAACTGTTCTCTCTAAACTAAACCCAGGTCCTCTGAACAGTGTCTAAACTGTTCTCTCTAAACTAAACCCAGGTCCTCTGAACAGTGCTCTAAACTGTTCTCTCTAAACTAGTCCTCTCTTCAGCCAGTGCCCAGCTTTTTACCATGGTGCTGGGGACCAAACTCCAGCCCTCACTTTGCATGGCAAGAACTTTACTGGCCAAGTCATCAACCCTGAAAGCTCCCACCGTGCCATGTAAACACACTGTGCTGTGGTGCTCTGCTTCTAGCGTGTTCAAGAGACTATTGGAAGATATGAGAAGCAGAGACCAGTCATTCCATATGAGGAACAGAATATTTATTGCAAGGCTGACTTGATAGCTTTATCAGGGGCCAACTAAGTATATGTTCACCTGGAAGACCAACAGAAGAGAAGAGAATGGAGAGGCCATTCCTGGCAGAGGAAGCCCCCTGTACTGAGAACACAGGTTGAGATGAGATTGTGGGAAGATGGGGCAGGCATGGGCAGGAAGGCAGGGGACGAGGCTGGGAAGAGCAGCAGGAGGCAGACCACGGTGGAGCCCACAGGCTCGTACACAGGGGGGTTCCCCTGCCGATTCAGAGGAGCGTCTGTGTGGAGCATGATCGGACAAGCTGTGCCCACAGAACAGAAACTCCTAGGACATAGAGATTGTCTGATTCTGAACCAGAAACCAAGGGTCTGAGCATGGGAGGCGATTGGCCATTGTCAGTGTCTCCGGCCTTCCAGGACTTCAGGCCTGGCATCACTGTGAGGCAGGCATTGCCTCCACGTATAAAGAGACTCAGAGAAGTCAAGGTGACACAACAGCAGAGCTTAGCATGTCAGACTCCATCCCCTGCAGTCATGGAGCTCAATATGAATGCGGAGGCAGCTTCACTTGTCTCTGCAACGGCAATCATGAGGAGGACAGCAGTGTGGATCCATTGTTCTGAGCGCACGCTGCTGGGCCATACGTCCTCTCACCTGTGGACCGCTATGAGGTCGAAGCTATTATTGTCCCCACTTTGAAGATGAGGAACTGAGGCACCAAAAGGTTAACAGCACCACAGCTGGTGACTGACAATGGGATCAGAGGAAACCGAGTAGGAGAATAAGTTAAAGGAAAAAAGGGGGGGCTGGGTATAGTGTCACATGCCTGTAATCACAGCACTCAGAGGGCAGGGACGAAAGGAAAGCCATGGGTTCCAGGTCAGCTTGGGATCCAATAGTGAGTTTCAGGCCAGCCTGAGCTACAGTGTTTACATTTGACTTTGAAAGCATGATATTCCTCCCCAACTCATAACCAAAGTATTTGTCTTGCCAATTATATGGGGCACTTTCTGTTGTTTGACATAGCAGCTGACTATGTAGACCAGAAACTTGTAGTAAGCCTCCTGTCCCTGTCTCCCAAGTCCTGAGATTATAAGTGTGTACTATCATGGCCAACTAATTCTATGTTTGTGAAGTCAAAAGGCCCAAGTACAAGTCTCCAGAGTGCTGGTGACCCAGGGTGTGGTCCTGGGTACTCTTCACATTGTTTGTGTGACCCAACAACCCCACAACCATGGCTCTTCACTTGCAGCCCCACCTTGAGGGCCAAATCCCTATGTCCAGTTCCTACATCCTTCTGTGCCTAGAATCTTAAATGAGATACCTCAAACCCAGCCTGCTCAAGACGGACCATATCACTGTATAATCTAGCACTGGGTCTCCCTTTCTCTGGTATCAGAAACAGTCAGGGGCTACCCACCCAGTCTCCTCCATTCCTTCAAACATCAACATGTAAGAAATCAACAAATGAGCCGGGCATGGTGGCACATGTCTTTAATCCCAGGACTCAGCAGGCAGGGGCAGGAGGATCTGTGAGTTCGAGGACAGCCAGAGGTACACATTGAGGCCCTGTCCCAGAAAAAGAAAGAAAGAAATCAAGAAAGAGAGAAAAAAAAAGAAAAGGAAGAGATAGGAAGACACCAGACTCAGTCAGTTCCTTACAAACACTTCTCCATTATGACCCTTCTCACTGACGCTGTTCTGAGATCCCTCTCCTGCAGCCACTAGGTATAGAGGAACCATCAAGTCATCATTCCAGGGAGGCACAGGGGTCCAGCTGTCTGTCTCTTTACTCCTGTTTCTTCCCAACTCTGCCAGCTCCTTAGTTAACAGTTGCCATTGTCATTGCTGCCTGAGTCACTAGAACTTAACTACCCCTACTCGTCTACCCACTGGTCCCTTTATACTGTGGCAAAGTGGGTTAAGTGCTAACTTGAGCTTGCATGCCTCTATGGAAAGCTCTCGCCAGGCTCCTCACAGCTCTTGGGGTGAAGTCTGCACTCTTAAATGCCTGGCCTGGGATTGGGGGTAGGGCTCAATGAGTAAAAGCACTTGCTGTGTGGGCCTTGATCTTGGAGCCCATATAAACCACATAAAAGTAGGAGGAGATAATCAAGTCTACAAAGTTCATTATCTGACATCCACATGTGTGCTATGACACGCATTCCCACACATACAGATCATGTGTGTGTGTGTGCACACCAGACACACACGGGCACAGTTTTTAAAAGCTGTCTCTGGGTTGGGCTTGCCTCATGACTTACTCTCTTCTTATTACCCCCGCCCCCGCACTCCATGTCCAAAAATAACAGTCTGATCCACTTCCCTAAACACACTTTTGGCATCTGCAGATCTGCTC